TGATCTTCGAACAACCTTCACAGTAATCAGGTTCCACCCGAGTGTTTGAAGAAAATGGTACACCCTAATGCAAACACCTTGATAGATAGTTACAGCGGTAAGTTGTAGGCATAAAAAGTTTCAAATTTAATAATTGTAAATTAAATCTGTATTCCCTGCATTTGGAGAAAAATTCCATTTAAATAGGTATTTCCTGCAACTAGCGAAAAACATGAGTATGTGTAGAAAAGAAATCTGGAAGAGAAAACAAGGTTATCTGACTAGAGGCCAAGCTGAGCACAGAACAGAGATGAGAAGGGAATCCACAGGCACTGACCACGGAGCCGGAAGCCTCCGACTCACTGTGTAACCCTGTAAGCCCCTGCTGCATGTGACAAGGGGCAGAGCCGGGGATTCAACGGCATTGCCGGGTGTCTGTCAGAGAGAAGCGATGCAAAGGCAAAAACTTAGACTTAGCTGTGTCTTCGTAAAATGAGACACGTATCCGTGCTTGTTTCAGCCACACTATCAATGCTTCTTTTTATCACACGGCTATGCCTTCATTTGCCTCCAGAAGCTCATACCCAAAACTTCAAACAGTGCTATTTGACACCTCCAGTTGTATCATTATATCTTCATCTTACTCTTTTCTCTACTACTTTTCTTTTTCTTGGCTCGCTTTATTGTATGTTATGTATACTTATAAAGCCATCTCAAATATTCTATGCAAGAAAGAAGGCATGAAGCATAAAATAAATAATTTTAGACTGATAGGAAACTGACCAGAGCAAGTAGACACTACATTTAGTATACTATATTAATCTAGGACAGGAGTATCATTTGTGTCAGAGTCAAACCAAGCAAAAATCCATGAGTAATGTTATGAGGTATACACACCAGGGTGGTAAAAGTACAAAGAAAAGCAAGAAGTATGTGCCATAAAAATTGGAATACTGATTACCTACCATTAATTAAAGGGTGAGTTAGTAGTGCCAGAAAGAGGCCCAAAATGATCTTGTTAAATGTCTTTATCTGGGCAATTGTTAAAAGGGTGTTTCTTTGTGATGAATTACTGAATTGTTTAATGTTCATACGGATATATTTTAATTTTTTCTATGTATGTCCTATATGACACAAAGGATTGAATTATGCACATACATTTACAAATATGTATAATGGCAATCAAAATATAAAAATAAAAATAAGTTCTTGCCATGCACATTGAGGCATGCCTGTAATCTCAGCACTCAGTAGGCTGAGGCAGGAGGATCTCTGTGAGTTAAAGACCAATCTGAACTACACAGTAAGACACTATCTCAAAATACAGAAAAATAAAACAAACAAAAAAATCTTGCAAAATACTAAAACAGATTCTACCAAGATTTCTAAAAGCCTAACAAAATTTTTAAAAGATGGGTTTGTTACTTAAGAAACAATGTCCAAATTTTAGTCACAAAAAAAATTAGAGGAATGTGCTGCAATCTAATGGAAATTGAAATGACATCGCACTAACCAAATCAATGCAGTCATGAAAACAGAGCATAGAAACAGTTTTGCAAAACTCATTCCGTGACAGTCTTTACTGTTTGTCTACTGAGTGCCGGGAGTGGCTCTAGGAATCAGAGACACTAATGAAGCACACAGCACACCAGGTCTCTTCTCTCATAAAGCTCACATTCTATCGCTAGAGAAGAGAAGGAGGCAGAAAGAACCGAGAGCTAGACACAAAGAGAGAGTAGACAGGAATAAGCCTTCCATACAGAGCAAACGCTTTATGTAAATCTTTGAGAATGGAAAGAGATTGGAATATTTGGAAAACTGAAAGGCCCTGTGCCTGGAACACAGCACAGGAAGATCAGACGATGTTCAAGGGGGCAGAAGAAAGAAAACGCTGCAAGTTTGGCAGGCTACAATGCTTAGACTTGGAATGTGATGGGTCACAAGCAGGGGATTGACATGGCCCGATTCACATCTTTAAAAGGTCATTATGGCTATTTCATAGGCACTGTGTTTTATGGGAAAAAATAAAGCAGGCAGCTACATAGGAGAGACAGAAATGGCAGCTTGAGTTGGGCCACTAATAGCCATTATGGGAAAGATGGATAGGTTCTGTATGTGGACTCAGCAGGACTTGCTAATGGGTCAGTGCGAAAGGGAAGAAAAAGTAAAGCCTCAAGTACAACTCCCTCACTGTGGCTTGAGTAACTGGGTGGCCTGCAGGGCCCTCACAGAAAAGGGGAAACTGGAATTAAAACAGGTTTGGAGACCCAGGGAACTAAAGGGTTGGGTCTTCACCAAGAACTGGGGGAATCAATTTCTCAGCCCACCTGAAATTCTCTTATAGCACATCAGAGTGTCTCGGCACGACATGTTCTGGGATAGGACATTAGAAATGAAAAGCAAGAAAGAACAGTAAAATTCATGAACTACTTAACTCATAGTAAATTTATTATTCTTCATGTCTAATATGATGCTTTTAAAGACTCTTCTAAGTCTCAGTCATAGAAATCTAATCTTATGTCGTCAAAAACAGGCATTTTCTTAAATTTCTTATGGCAAAAATGGGCTTAAATATTTTGTATTTTTAAGACCTAGAAGAATATATAATACATACATATATAATATATACACCTTCCCTTTCTAGAAATGTATGTCCAATCAAAGATTAGATCATCCTAAAATATAAAGTAATATACCTATTTATAAAGAGGATATTTTAGAAAGAGAACTGCTCATCTTATCAAAATAAAGACTGCTAGAATCATTTATAGGCACATAGAAAAACAGGTGTTTTTAGATTTAGTACTAATACATGATGGCAAAAGTAGGAAATCTAAATTTGACTTCAGTGTGTACATACTAAAGTGTCTGGAACTTTAAAAAATTGGGTTATTGCACTGAAATTCCATGACTGAATATTTGGGTCATTGTCTTAAAGTCAGATTTTTGGATCACCATCCCTCAGTCTCTGCTGGTCAAAACTGTTCATGATGTTGCGCCTCCTCTCCCTGTGCCTGTACACATGTGCACAAACAGATGCACTTTGGTGCAAGGTCTCCAGAGCCCTTCCCACTGTAATAAGCCCCCAGGTTCTTTTACCTCCTAGGCTTAAGAGAATCAGGCTCTTTCATAACAGCACCCAGAGTGGCCGTCTTCACAGGTTGAGCATCTTCACACTTTTATCCTCTCATACTCCAATTTTAGACAACAAGAAAGTGATGGCCACACATCCTGTCAGCTTCCCAGTGCCACATGAAGGCTCACTTCATAAGAGATCTCTGATGTTAAGCAAAACAAAACACTCACTCTCATAACTTTATGCCTTGGTAGCTCTGCAAACTGGCAAAATGGTCTACCTCTCTTCTAAATCTAACCATCACCATCATCTTCCAACAAAGCCATGTCTTTGCACTAATGATAAATATTTTTATATTCTTTTACTATTTATAAAAAAATCATGGTAATGAGCTATTCAGCTTTTTTCCTACTAAATAATACACATATTTTTGATAATAGACCGAACTCCTTAGCTTGCAAGATATTTAAACAAAATGTTCCCTAGTTCTTGCCTGTACCACACACTCACACCATCAAACACCTTTCCTGTTGGCTGAGATTCCCAATTACATTTGTTTTCCTTCTCTGTCACAAAGGGAAATGATTGTGCTTACTCAGATTTGATGAAGGCACTATTTCTCATACAGCATTTTTGCTGATATCTATTGAAATAGAAACATTCAAGAAAAGTTACTAGGGTCATGAGTTCTGAAACTTTTATGGGCAGTATAGAACTCTTGGAACTTCTCCCTTCCAAGTCATGGTAAAGACAGAAGAAATGAAGGAAAGAGTCCCTAGACGAGTTGAATCAACATACAGATTTTCCTTTTTCAAATTCTTTCAGTCTGTTCCTCACTGCTTCTCATTTTCCCTTATTAAATACCTCTCCCAGGTCAAAATGAATTATTGAGGGGAAAAGCTTCATTATAAAACCAAAACAATGTCTTCTAGGAGGAAATAACTAGACTTCTGTGGTTATTTTGTGGCAGCAAAGTCAACTGAGGATTTCTAGCTTGATAACTACTCTCTGAAAGCAGTGGGCTCCACCGATGGATACGAGAAAGGATTAGCAGAATACAGTCATTCCTCAGTGTCTGTGGCGGATTGATTCTAGGAGTCCTAGGCTACCAAAATCTGGGGATGCTCAAGTCCCATGTGAAAGATGTCATACTATTAGTACATAACTTGTGAATGTCCTGTGTACTTCAGGTCATCCCTAGACTATTTATAATACCGACTACAATGACAGCATCAGGTAAATAGTTGGTATATGTCATTGCTTAGACAGCAGTAACAAGAAACAAGTCCGTACCTGTTCGCTTACAGAGGTAAATTTTTTTTAAAGTTTTCAATATGAGGCTGGTTAAATTCATGGTTGTGAAACTCATATATCCTGAGGTTCTATAATTGATGACAGCACTCACAATACTGACTCTTAACAAAGAGTGAAGAGGGAATGACTATGTTACAAGATGACAATGAAAGGAGGTAACGTCTGACTTTGACGCACTCGATCCAATATTATTGAAATGCAAGTGTGTATCTGCCATCCAAAGAGTATTACATAAACCAAGCATGTCTGAGTATCAGGAGATGTTTCTAGGTGGTCATAGGAAATTCTGCTCCATATTCATGCTATCACAGGACACAATTACCCCTGGAAGCAGTTACAACAGCCAGAGGAGCTACTCTGGCTCTCCAACAGGGGTGCAGCAGCTCCATTTAATATTCCTGTCTAGTGAAACAGCAAGGCCCTTTGTGCCTATTTTTTAAATGCACATCTTTAATATTCAATATAATGCTACTCTTTAACAAACTCTTTACTCCCTGCCTCTCTGATGAAGCTTCCTGTGGTCTTTAAAGGGGTTGTTAACCCAAGAATGGATCGCACTCTTTCCGCATGGGCAGGTCGTGAGCCACTCCATTAAGCCTTCCAGTATTTAATAAGAAGCGCCGTCACTCACCTCTGAGGAGCTGAGCCAGCTGCTCGGTGAGGAGCTCCGGAGCCTCCTGGAGAAGCTCTTTCAGCACAAGGGATGAGGAAGACTCTTGGAACTCCAACTCCGCACCGTTCTGCTCAACTGGGTTAATGACTTTGACAATTGCTGATTCCAATGCTTTGTCCTCACTGTAAAGCAAATGGAGGAGGAGAAGAGGAAAGTGCCTGTGGTGAGGGTGCATTTTCTCACTTTTTGGAATTATTTGGTCTCTGTTCCTGAAAAAATAATTTCTTCTCCATATCCAAATATATTACTAACCTCGTATGACTCTGCAGAGTACAGCCCTACTAGTCCATTTCTTTTCACATTTCTTTTCAACCAGTTACTGCCCTTAAGAGTCCCAGAATGTCTTCATAACTTAGCAACTCTGTCTTAGTTACTTTTCTCATTGCAGAGACAAAATAATGCACTAGTTAAGGGAGGAAAAGTTTACTTGGCTCACAGTTTGTACAAGTTTCAGTTCATAGTTGGCTGGCTCCAAGGCAGGGTGGCATGGCAGAGGGGCACTGCAGAGGAGAAACAGCTCATGGCAAAGCAGGGCAGGCAGAAGGCAGTAAGCAAGCAAAGCAGCAGTCAGTGACACTAGCCCTCTTTCTGTCCTTTATATTTTATCCAAACTATCTGCCCTTAGGGTGGGTAGCACTCACACCCAGGGATGGGGCACCTTTAATCCTACTCAGAACTATGCCAGACTGATCAATGGACTAATTTAGTAATCAACATCGTTGATCCCAGCATCACACAGTCTAGATGCAGCCACCTCTGAAAAAGCCCCACTTTGACCACATGAGACTTTAGAGGGACATTTAGACACAAGACATAACAAACTCAATCTCTTTTTTCACTGTTGGGAAATAATAGCCAACACGTACTGACTTCCAGTATAGGCCAGACGCTATTGCACACACTGCTCGTGTCATCATATTTTATGTGATAAAATTGTCCATGAAATAGGTTCCAATAAAATCTCCAATTTACAGATGGGGAAACTGAGGCACAAAATAGCTAAGAAATTTGTTTGAGGTCACACAACCAGCAGGTGGAGAGTTAGTTATACATTAACTCTGATGATCTAGCTCCAAAATCTTGTATATCCAGAAACTATGATGTAGAAAAAAATATTACTGGGCTTATTTATTTCTACCATCAATCCTTAAATACGATATAGAGGTGGTGTTTATCAAAAGCAGGAAGAAAATTCTGGTTAAAATCAACTTTATTCATTCTGTCCAAAACAAATTAGTGACAATAAAAGATTTAAGAATCTCAATTAATTTTTAAAAAGTGTTCTATTTTATAAACAATCCTAAAGCTAAAGTTCACAATTTCAGTTTTGAAAACCAGCATGAATGTTTCTATTTTTAATCGGTCACAAAACTCTCAGGTTTTGATTGATGCACTCATTCCATAGTTCACAACTTTAGTTGTTTTACATTGTCTTTGCCCATGTCTACTTGAATGAGTTGGTTTGGGAAAGTTAATGTATAAATGTAGTCCAGCATGATTATCCTGGACATGAATGCTATTGCTCTGGCATGACTTCAGCTTCTCCCAAAGGTCTGCGTATGAAAGCATGGTCCCTAAGGTGCAGGCGTGGGGAGGTGGAATGGCACTTTAAGAGGTGGAGCCCAGTGGGAGGTGCTTAGGGCATGGGGGGTGTCCCTAGGGGAACTGTGGGACCCTGACCTCTCAGCCTCTCTGCTTCTGGCAAGAGATGTGACCCTCTTGCTCCACACTTGCTGATAGGCCACCCGCACCACATCCCAAGCTTCAAACTCCAGAACAAATGAGCCAAAATAAATCTCTTTTTACTTCCTGTGTCGGGTATTTCATTACAGTGACAGACAGCTGACTAATAAAATAAAAATAAAAACTGAAGTCGGTCCAAAACACCTACCAATAACTTCCAACCACTTGTTGACTGATCGGGAAACATTATTGGAAAGAATTTCCTTTGTTTCGTATAGCATAGGGATAAAAGCAGCCCCACATAGGCAGACTATTTGCAAAAAATATAATTAAATGAATTGTATAAGTCATATTATAATGTTACCATATCTAAATATATATTGTAAAAAATATAGTGTATAATATAATATAAATATAATGTATTCATTCCTAAATGTATTTTCTTTTTTTTTCCTCATTGAGTTTATTGGTACATTTTAGGTATACAGTACAGTTACATTCGTCATTGGGATCTTGTGCCTTTACATGACAGATCTTGGTTCTCATTTTTTCCCCATACCCCTGCCCTTCCTTCACCTCTTCCTCTCTTCCCTATTTACTAAAACTTTATTTCCATTTTTTTATTTTCTCATTTTTTTCTTTTCCCTTATTTCCTTTCCCCTACCCTTCCTACTTTTCCTACACCTTTAACCCTTTTCTTCCTATTACTCATTGTCAATTATACCATTAGGATCTTATGTACCATTATAGTTTTTCACACCAGAGAAACTATTCAGTATTTACACATGTGTGACTTATGTATTTCACTTAACAGTATGCCTCAATATGCATCAATTTTCCTATGAATGACTCTAATTTCTCATTCTTTATGGCTGAGTAGTATTCCATTTTATAGAAAAACCACATCTTCTTTTTCCAGTCTCCGACTGATAGGCAAATGGGCTGTTTCCAAGTCTTAGCTATTACAAACTGTGCCGCTATAAACATGGATGCACATATATCACTCTGGTATGGTTCTTTTAATTCTTTTGGAAAGATACCCAGCAGAGGGATGGCTGGGTCAACTGGAACCTCTAGTCCTAGTTCTTTGAGGTATCTCCATATTGATTTCCACAGTGGCCTAAATGTATTTTCAAAGTTCAATTTAAAATGATTAAATAAAACAGTTCTCATTTCATAGACACTAATGTCAGTGTCCACTGGGGAGGTCATCAACAATTAGCAAATTGGCAAACTGTGCAAAGAAGGAACAGCTCAGACCATGCAGGTGAATCATGAGTCCCCTTCAGGCAGTACTAGCAGACAGCTTAACCCAAGGACACCTTTGTGTGGTCATTGAAGGCAGATTCGTCTTATTCCTCTTGATTAACCTTTAGATTCCTGCCCCAGTTAACACTCTTCAGCACTTATTGAAGGATACAGAAGATCCCAGTTCTAATTTGAAATCTTTCATTAACTACATAAGGGCAAATCATGTGTAACACCTGGCTTCTGGTTTCCTGTCCATAAAATAAGGAGCTTGAACTACAACAAGTTTCATAAAGTGACCCTAAAATAACATGAGTGCACAAACCAATCACCAAATGATTCTCATGGTCCAGCTCTACATATATTTCCATTTCACTATGGAGATTTCTCTTTTAAGAAATTTTGAATTTTATCTAGTGTTTGATTTCCATTTGCATTTCCTATTTTCAGCATTAATCCATAGAATTATTGTATTGCTATACAAAAATGTTTTAAATTATAATTTTGGTTAATTTTGCAAAAACTTTCCACTTAAGAATGCTGTATTTTAAATGCAAAAGTAGAAACAGACAATTGGCACAGCCCAATTTTGTTTCAAATGAAGAAAATAAATTTCCTTTCCTCTGAACATCCTCTGCTTTTAATACATCTCCCTAAAGCGCAACAATCCTGAACAAAGTGACAACTGCCCAGAAGACCCTCCACTAAGGGGCCAAACTGCCAAAGCTTCACAGTGACTCTTACCTTGCCAGGACGTTGCTACCAACAAGTGTTATAGATAACTTCCCTTCATCATTGAGCTGATGCAGATTAACTTCATCTCGAAATATGTGGAAGGATTCAGAGATATTCAGCGCTTCTAATATAAACCTGGTCTCAGTGAAGTAGCTGAATTCAGTCCGTGGGATATTCAGCACTGGTAAACACAGAACCCCAGGTGGGCTGACCTACCAAGAGAAAATTGGATGGAGTCATTCTAAAGAGCTGGAGGGAAGAGACAACTGACTACCTTTCTGGCTGACTGAGGGTGACTGGTAAAGGGAATGCGAGTCCTTTGGCTGCACTAAGCAGTTCACCACCAGATTTTCCTGAACCCAATTAGTTGAGGATTGTGCACCAGCAGAGACCCTTGATGTTTTCTAACTTCTTGAGACTTCTCAAGCTTACTTGTCTCACGTCAGCACCTCCATAATAAAACAAAACAGTAACAGCAGCAACAAAAACAATGACAAAACCAATCAAGTGGTTTTTCTTTTACCTGTAACGCTAATACTGAATCTCAGTCTCTCCATCGCATTCATGTTTAGGGGTAACACCCTCACATGTGTTTATGGGACCACAGAAAATTAGAATGACTGAGGCCGACCAAGTGGGGACTATGGGGACACGGGAAGGCACCTAACTCCACATCTAAATGGATCCAGCCTGTCGCTCACTTGTAAAAATGTAAACCTGCTGCAATCCAATGTTCCCCTTACTACGAAAATCCAGATTTCGAGGTATTACCTGTGATGTTGAACTTTTACAGTCAAGTTTCAGAAACACAAACTACAATGTAGGACACTGAAAATGCATTTAGGAGCTAGATTTGGCCCACAAACTAACAGGTAGTGATTGCCACTGATTTCTTGTACAATTTTAAAAAGCTCATGTTCAAGAACCTCCTAGAAAAAAATGTGCAGTAAGTGGCAGAAATAGGAGATGGGTAGGAGATAAAGAATTCCAAATACACAATAATAAACTCATGTTTACACAGGAATTTTTAAGAAGAAAGACGCTTTTAAAAATTACTATAAGTAGATAATAATAAACTCCAAAATGACTACTTTTGAAAAAATGCAGGGTTTGGTAACATCGAGTTTCTATATAAAGCAAATGGGCTTCTCCTTTAGTCACCAGGTCTGCCACAAGCGTGGTGCTTACTACAGTTCAACATCTTTGTCATTCATCTCCTCTCGGTGTCACAAAGAAGCCAGGCCTCTGGGACTGCTTTGCTCAGGTTGGCGCTTAGTAAATATTTTGTATTTGTTGAGTGGAATAAATGAACCAGCCACCGCTTCAGAAAATGAAGCACAAAGCTGCTTCCACCACGTGGTTTTCCTCTCACCTGGGAGACTGCTAGGAATCACAGTCCCATAATAATCATTAGCGATGTGTGGATGCTAAGCTATTTTTCCTAAATCAGTGAGGGTCCTATCTCCCGATAACGACTCAGGGAGAGGAATCAACTCAGGAGTTGAGAGCACGTGGCCTTAAAGGACCTGTTTTGAAGTCGGAGTCCGAAGATCTATGTGCCCCGGTCTCTGCCACATGACTTGGAGGAAGCCAAGTCCTCAGGTTTCTCCTGAGAATGGGGCTCGCTTATCAGAGTACGAAATGATTTCAACTGGGTCAGACATGCAAGCCTGCGAAGCCCTGTACTTATCCCGCGTGTCAATACTCTGAGAGGGAGAAACCGGGTTCTCAGGAAAAATTTAAATGGGACGCAGACCACTTGTAGGGGGCAGAGCCCAGTGAATGGAGGCACAAAAGACAGCAAAATTCCCAGTAAGTGACTCCTCAGTCATTCCACATTTGTTTCCGTGCTTAATGACAAGGCTTCAAAGAAAAAAAGGAAGATCCGTGCGTCTGTTTTTCTCTACTTATTTCATCTCTCACAGTTGCTTCCCCTACTTCTTTTGTTGTGTGTCATTATATTCATGCAAGACACAGCTGTTGGTGGTTTTGGTATTATTATATAATTTCTTTCCAATTCTATGCCCCTATTAGTCTAAATATCAATCGAGTTTAGTTAACTCTGTGTTCGCTGGACAAACAAAAAAGATTTTAGGAGTCAAAAAACCCAGTTAAGAGTAATGCTTAATGTGCACGTCTCAACACAGGCATATTTATCTCCTCATACCAATTAATATGCCTTGTAAAGTTCAACAGATTTTAAGATAAATCTGATAAAAAGCCCACATGTAGAGATCAGAATATTTTACCCATCATTTTTGTCAGCTGCTGCCTTAAAGCAGTTCTTGCCACCCACAGCTCATTCTGGAAGACTAGCTTGCATGTGAATTTAAATGGCTCTAGATCAGCTAAGCATACTATCGGGGGCCAAAGATAAAGAAAAAATGAAATAAAACAAACCAGGCTCTGGAAAATTAAAAATTGTGTGAAAGTTTTGAAAATATCACACAAAGATTTATAATATACATTTTTAGATTTTTAAGGCAAGAAAGCTTATGATATGGGCTGATGAACTTTGTGGGGGAAAAATTTAAAAACAATTTATTGAAGCTGTTTTACACTTGTATAGGTGTATCTGTTCTTCATGGGTAGAAGTAGTTCACTCAAGGCAGATTATCACTAAGTGAAAAGGATCTTAGTGTCAGGACTAAAAGGCAAGATCAAACAAGTACTTGTGCAATGTAGATCTGACATGTAATACCTCTGTCTTTGAAAATTTCAGACTCTATACTCTGTATGCCATGTAATGTTTGCACTAGTTATTCTGCATGTATTTTCCTATTCCAAGGGTAAATCTATCCAAGGATAATGAAGGAAAATAAGAAATTCTGACTTTAATTTTGTTAGTTCCCTCGATTACCATAAAAGTAATTACCTATGATAAACAGTTTAAATTCTTATTTTAAAACATTTACCCTTATTGAAACAAGATTTTATGAAGAGAGTCAGTAAGGAGTAACTAGAACAATGCAATATAGACATAGTAGGTACTTAATAAATATTTGTTAATTAATGGCTCACGATGCTTTATTCCCTGCAACAATAAAACTTAAGTTGATAGCTATCTTTTTTCTTAAGTTACACAATCCCAGTATAGAAAACATAATCATTTCCCCTCACCTTATCTAGAAAGTAAGCATATGTAAAGGCAGAAATGAGAGCATCCAACTCGCATGATTTAGGTCCAATAACCACGTGAACCTTCTCCAAGCGTTTGCTTCGATCCTGAAACAAGTTCAAATAAAACATTGTAATTCAGCTTGCAATAGATCAATAAAGGGGGAATTTTTCAACCCTTTTCAAGTATATCTGTATTCATATACAATGGAAAAAATCATAAATTTATCATAAAGTTTTACATGAGAACATAAACATAAAAACTACATTTAACATCTTAAAATGTTCTTTTAAACCACCAGTAAGTTGTAAGGAAGATGAAATGAGATTTTATTAAGATTATCTACAATTTAACTTCATTTGAACTTTATCTCTGAGTCATAAATATTTTTAGTAAAAGATCATGTTATTCTAAGGAGCAGTTGCACAGAATTCGATTGTCATTTCCTTATATAAGACATCATTATTAATTTAAGCAACTATGTGACTTTTCTCATGTATGCCTGGCATGCTGTGAAATCAAATAAACATACAATTTGGTAAGGGCTTATTCATTTTCATGTCACATTTTGGGTAGCAGGATGTAATCACTCTGCATTATATTCTATTATTTAATAAATGAAACTCAATAATTTCCTTGCTCAGAAAAAAGATACAATTAGTGTTAATATCTCTCAAAATACAAACTACAGTAACTGCTCTTAAAAAGTTATAAAAGAGTCACCTTGGGGCTGGGGATTTAGCTCAGCGGTTCCGCTGCCTGCCTTGCAGGCACAAGGACCAGAGTTCGATCCCCGGTACCAAAAAAGTCACCTCTTTGAAAGTGAACACATGCTGTTTTTCTCGTTAAACTCAATATGTTAAAGTTCCTTTATGAAATGCTGACATCCTTTTGAAGCCTCCAAAGAACCAACTAATTTTAGAAAATTCCATAGCAAAGCTTTCCAATACAGATAATCTAAATTAGGATCTTCATAATATTTCAGAGTGGACACTCATGGCTCTTCCCTCATTTTCCATCATTTGCTTTAGCCTCTCTTTCTAGGGCTAACTAGAAAGGCAACTTCATTATAATTCTGCTCCACGGGCTAAATAAAAGATTAGGCTGGTCATGACTGTTTTAACTTAAAAAGACTTATTCCTCTTTGTGCATAGCAAAGATAAAGCACTATTTAATAACCTACTAGGTATTTTACAAATGAATCTAAATATTTGTCGGAATTTGTATAAAATGCTGATATCAGAATCAGAAGCAAGTTGTAAACACCTAGGTATTGGTTGACCAATAATGGAACCAATAAAGGAACATAATGAGTTAAATTTGGATAGAAGCTGTGTCAAAGAGTCCACCATAGACAAAAACCACAGGATCACTGTTGCAAACAATTCATCCAATGGGCACATGGCCAAACTCAAATACTCCTATTTTTTAAATATTAGGACATCGATCCTTAGAAAAGCAACATGATTTAAAGTTTGTCACAAATTCTCTCGAGCTAATTATGACGCCCTTCCTATTAGTACCCCAGAGGTAGCTCCCAGTCCTTCCTCTCATGGCCTCTTTGTCTAACCTCAGAGATGTGTCGCTGGCTCAGTTGACTGAGCATTCTTTGGGGTTCTAGTCTTGCCCCAGATCTCAATATTAAGATAGTCAAACATCCTTGGGGCACCTACAGAAATTGAAGTAAGTGGGATTTATTCCACTACAACACAAATGAATGCATTAGGAAATCATATTACTGATATTACTGTAATTGCTGTTATTCCGAGAAGCTCAAAGGTCTAAGTAGACATTACCTCATGCCTCCTCCCAAATCTTGTGAGAATCACAGTAAGAAGATCAACAGAATTTTTACAGGTCAGAGGAGTCTGTGATGGGGCCAGGATTGTTCCCAGAACCCTCAGCCCAGAGCTGAGAGCCTGGACTAACCACTTCCTATTGCCATGGTGATGTCATCGGCCTCATGACAAGTGGGCATGCAGATCAAAGAAGAAAGGAGAAAATGCACAATAAATACATCAAGACTTTAGGCATTTTTGTTGCACCAAAATTGGCCTATTTGCTTTCTCTTCTAGGCATCATTCCCAGGCATAGCTCTGCATTCAAACCCCAACTTATACAAAAGGAAACATGGAGAACCCAGCAAGATTTGAGAGTCACTTCCAAACCCAAACCTAATTATTACTTTAAAAAGAAAGAAGCTCAATGAGGGTTGTGAAGCCAAAGCATGTAATCCAAGTCTCACACCTCATAATTCTGACCTATTCCTTCATCTTTAAAGAGAAAAGGTATACATCACCTGGGAGGTCAGCACCATAGCCGACCACAGCTCTGAGTTCTCCTTGACATCACCTGCCTGTTTTTCCATGCTCTCTCCTTTCTCTCTGACAGTCATGCTTCCAACATGTCACATTCTATCCTAGTCATGGCCTTTCCCAATGCTGTTTACCCACATCTGCCATCCTCAGTTGATGCCACATTCCCCAGACCCCAATAGTATGTTCCTTTACCACTCACACCTATCAAGATATGTCAAACCTGTGTCCAGGCTCTTAGGAACCTGCCTCTCGACTGGCAAGCCCAACAAATAATATGCCCCTGGCATAATGCATCACCCACCAAGGCAATGTAGTTCCCTTTTAAAGAGTCTGTTTTGAAATCATGCCACAATCCAAAACGATAACTGGAAATTTCATCCTGAATGAGAATGCTGAACTAGACAGAAGAGATATCACAACCAGAAGGTACATTTGATGCCTGCAGAGAGCCTCAAAAGTGGCAAGCTGGATCTCAAAATATCTCAGATACTTCTGAGCGCCTTATACCTATCAGTAATCATGGATAAGAACTAACTGGGGGCAGCAGCAGGAGGATGCCATGATGCCCAGACTCCTGGGCGCAGACTCCTGCCTGCCTGGAGGAAGGAAAAAGTCACATGGATTTGCTTTGTAGATGAGCTCGAGGGACGCACAGGAATTGACTCTTCAAATTGAGGTTGAACATCTGAGTGTAAGTGTTCATTCTCAAGCTTTCCGCCACGGAAGACTGTGGCCGTGGGCACAGAGCAAGCACAGGGCTCAGAGTGCAGAGTGGTGTGGGGACAGGTTTTGGGGAGCTGGGTCAAGTAATAGGGGATGATCCACTGTGCAGCAAGGGTCTCAGATGAGGTGGCAGCAATGTTCAGAAAGTCCCTGCTTACATTTACGTCTTCAAGAGTTTTGCCTCTTCTAACTTCTACCAGATTGTTTCTGCTTTAATATTTACATCTTTGATCCATTTTGATTTGTTTAATGCATAGTGAGAGATATGGGTCTAGATTTAATCTTCTGCATGTGGATAGCTATTTTTCCCAGCACCATTTATTAAAGAGACTGTCTTTCCTCCAACCTATCTTTTCGACTCCTTTTGCAGAGACTGAGTAGCTAAATGTGCCTGGGGTTGTTTCTGTATCCTCCATTCTGTTCCACTCATCTACATGTTTGTTTTTGTAGCAGTAGCTTTGTGATAGAACTTCAAATCTGGGATTGTGATGCTTCTTGCTTTGCTCCTGTGACCCAGGATTGTTTTTGATATTCTGGGTGTCTTCTGAGTCCATATGAATTTTAGGATCGTTTTCTCTAGTTGTAAGGAATGCTGCTGATATTTTGAATTGTTTTCTAACTTTCCACCTCTAAGGCCCCATAATGAACCTTTCAACCATAGGTCCCTCCCACTATAATTTAGCTATCATTCCTCAACACAGCCTCCACACCTTCTTTTTCTTAAAAATCCTATGAACAGTTTTTTAAAAATAATTAATTGAAATATAATGTTTCAAAAATATTATAGATAAAACTCACAGAAGTTGGTGAGTCCCTTTCCTCACATATGAAAGCAAGAAACTTGTCTTCTTAATCCCTCCTTCCAAATCAACAATTTAAATGGGGGGGGTCTCTCAAATTTATAGGATGTTATCCCCAAAGAAAGCAAAGCTTGGAAAAGAAGTGTTAAGCCAGTGCTTCCCATAGTTACTCACTCCAAGTCAGTGAGGAGTCCTTGTTCCAGAAAGCTGGCTCTTGATTTGGGCAGAAAAGCACCCAGATGCTCCAGGGGCTCTCTGCACGTGTGGTTGCCAGGATTTTGAGTCAGATGACTACAGGATGGGAGGGTAGAACCCTCTCCTACTGCTCATGACCCTGTTGGTCCTTAATTCACACCACTCACAGTCCCCAGGAAAGCCAGGTTGGTAGGAAAAACACTCGGTACCATAGCCAAGTGAGCAACAAGGACCCAAGAGAGTTGAGGAGGTACCCAGAACAACAGGGTCCTCAAAAAGAAAGGAAAAAGTCCCCATCTGCTCTGTGCACTTGGATTAAGCCTCATAAGTCTTACTGTTGAGAAACACAGTGCCTCTCTTAGTACTGGCTCCTGGTTGAAGATGATTTTGAGAGCTCTTGGCTTCCTGAGTTTCTAAATTTGTCACACTACCTTGTTGGGACCCAGAGAGTATGGTGTTGAGAACTTAGAATATTGTATCAAATGAAAGTTTAAAAGGAAAAAAAGAAACTAAAATCATTCCGTGTGAGGGGATTTCCCTCTCCAGTTGAAATTTTGTATTTTAGCCTCTATTTTTATTTTCTGATAAAAATATGCCATCATAAATCAGATGAAAAAAATTAATAAAGCCAAAATAACTGTTAACATGTTTTTTATTATGCCACTTTTTAAAAAGTATGCATCTATATTAACACATATACTTTATAAAAATGGGGTGCTTCTATTCCCACCATTTTTAATAGTTTACTGGCAACAACTATGAGTTTACAACTTGTGTGTGTATGTGTGTGTGTGTGTGTTTGTAGAATTTCTGGAAATAACCTAGATGCCTTCAAAAAATTCCATGCTATTGCCAAGCAAGGTGCTCTGGCTCACTGTCGTGGTCCGGACACATTCTAATAGTGCGCTAATAAACAGGAAGAAGAGACTGTGAGTCAGTAGTAGCTGCTTCTGCAAGATGAACCTCAGGTCATGTATAAAAGCAAAAGCATTTAGGATCTACAAATTTGGGACACAGGCATTTATATTTTCTCATCAATCTCATAATTCATTTGGTGACTCTGCAGATGAG